TTAACCCTGTATTCTGCTTTCAAATTTGTCCTTCCAAAATGAACCACCTCACACTTTTCAGGGTTAAACTCCATCTGCCACTTCTCAGCCCAGCTCTGCATCCTATCAATGTCCCTTTGTCATCTAGAACAGCCCTCCGCTGTCCACAACTCAAAACAGCTTTGTATCGTTCGCGAACTTACTAACCCACCCTTCCACTCCTACAACCAAATCATTTACAAAAATCACAAATAGAAGAGGACCCAGAACTGATCCTTGTGGTACACCACTCGTAACCGAGCATCATGTTGAATATTTTCTGTCCACTACCACCCTTTGTCTTCTAAGGGTCAGCCAATTCTGAATCCAATATGCCACATTTCCCCCTATCCCATACCTCCTTACTTTCTGCATGAGCCTACCATGGGGAACCTTATCAAACGCCTTACTTAAATCCACGTATGCCACATCCACTGCTCCACCTTCATCCACGTGTTTGGTCACCTCTTCAAAGAATTCAATAAGGTTTGTGAGGCATGATCTACCTCTCACAAATCCATGCTGACTATCACAAATCAAACTGTGCCTATCCAAGTGATCATAAATCCTATCTCTCAGAGCCCTTTCTAATAATTTGCCCACCATTGAAGAAAGACTAACTGGCCTGTAATTTCCAGGGTTATTCCTATTCCCTTTTTTGAACAGGGGAATGACGTTTGCCTCTCTCCAATCTTCCGGCACTATACCCGTGGACAGTGAGGATGAAAAGATCATCGCCATAGGCTCTGCGATCTCTTCCCTCGCTTCCCATTGAATCCTTGGATAAATCCCATCAGGCTCAGGGGATTTATCTATCTTCAACTTCCTCAAAATTCCAAGTACATCTTCCTTACTAACATCAACCTCCTCTAGCCTACCTGCCTGTTTCACAACATCCTCTCCTACAACTAGGTCCCTCTCAGTTGTGAATACCGAAGAAAAGTATTCATTAAGGAACTCTCCAATCTCTTTAGGCTCCGTGCACAAATTCCCTTTATAATCCTTGATCGGCCCTACCCTTTCTCTGGTCATTCTCTTATTCCTCATGTATGTGTAAAAAGCCTTGAAGTTTTCCTTGATCCTGTCTGCCAAGGTTTTCTCATGCCCCCTTATCGCTCTCCTAAGCCCTTTCTTCAGCTCCTTCCTGGCTAACTTGTAGCCCTCTGGAGCCTTTTCCAAACCTTGTTTCCTAAACCTTAAATAAGCATCCTTCTTCCTCTTAACCAGTCGTTCGACCTCTCTCGAGAACTAAGGCTCCCTCACTCGACCGTATCTTCCCTGCCTGCGAGGTCCAAACATATCGAGCACACGCAGTATGCATTCCTTAAACAATCTCCACATTTCTATTGTGCTCTTCCCTTACAGCATCTGTTCCCATTTTATGTTACCCAGTTCTTGTCTAACAGAATTATTATAAACCTTACCCTGCTGTATGTACCTATCCTTTTCCATGACTATTATAAAAGTAACAGAGTTATGATCGCTACTGCCAAAATGCTCTCCTACCAACAGGTCTAACACTTGGCCCGGTTCATTGCCAAGCACCAAATCCAAAGTGGCCTCTCCTCGTGTTGGTCTATCTATATACTGTGTCAGGAATCCTTCCTGAACGCACTGGACAAAATCCGCTCCATCTAAACTATTACAACTAAAAAGTTTCCAATCAATATTTGGAAAGTTGAAGTCACCCATGACTACAACCCTGTGACTTCTGCACCTTTCTAGTGTCTGCTTCCCAATCCGCTCCTCTACTTCTCTGAAACTATTAGGGGGTCTGCAAAAAACCCACAACAAAGTGACTGCTCATTTCTTGTTCCTGACCTCACCCAAACTGAGACATATAGACATATCATTCTCGAACTGCCTTTCAGTAGCTGCTATACAAGCCCTGACTAGCAATGCCACTCCCCCACCTCTTTTACCACCTGCCCTACTTCTTTTAAAGCATCTAAATCCTGGCACTTCCAACAACGATTCCTGTCCCTGAGTTACCCAAGTTTCTGTAATGGCCACAACATCGTAGTTCCAAGTACTGACCCATGCTCTAAGTTCATCCACCTTATTTCTGATACTTCTAGCATTGAAGTATACACACACACCAAACCATCCCTGTGTCCACAATTACTCTCCATTGACTGCATTTCTTTATTAACAACCTCACTCCCTGTTGTGTCTGTTGGAAGGCTGAATACCTCATCCTCTGAATTATAAATCCGGTTCCCCACCCCCTGCCAATCTCGTTTAAACCATCCCGTACAGCTCGAGCAAACCTCCCTCCCAGGATATTTGCCCTTCCGGTTCAGGTACAACCTGTCCTTATTGTACAGGTCCCACCTTCTCCAGAATGTGCTCCAATTATCCACATAATGGAAGCCCTCCCTCCTACACCTGCCCTGCAGCCAAATGTTTAGCTGCACTCTCTCCCTATTTCTTACCTCGTTATCAAGTGGCACTGGTAGTAATCCAGAGATACCTACCCTGTTTGTCCTGGACCTCAGCTTCCAACCTAAATCCCTGTACTCGTTTTTCACATTCTCAGTCCTTTTTCTACCTGTGTCATTGGTACCGATGTGTACCATGACTGCTGGTTGCTCACCGTTCCCGTTAAGGATCTTGAAGATACGATCCGAGACGTCACGGACCCTGGCACCCAGGAGGCAACATACCATCTGTTTGTCTCGTTTGTGTCCACAGAACTGCCTGTCTGTGCCTCTTACTGTTGAATCCCCCACTACAATTGCTCTCCTATTCTCCCCCCTTCCCTTCTGTGCCGCATGGCCAGGCTCAGTGTCAGAGACCTGTCTGCTATAAGCGGCTCCAACTAGACAAAGGTCAACGTTCCTACATATAGTACAGAGTGTCAAAGTTCACAGTATCTCTGTCACAATATATTGTAGGTAACAACCTACCGCATATTTCTAAATTTACCCAAATGTGCTGGATAGGAAGGACTTTTGGTTTGGTTTTATTTCAAATACATGTGCAAATATAATGTGCCTACAATCCAATGCAGTTAGCAAACCATTTGTGCAATATTACAAAAGGGGACTGCACTTCAATCACACCACCTTGAAGAAATATGACAAAATACCTCTCAGTAAGTTTCAAATTAATAAAGCATGGTTGACTGCAGCAGTTTAACATGCAGCTTACCACCACCTTCCCCAGGACAACCTAATACTGGCCTAGCCAGTCGCACTCATATCCCATGAACAAAAAAATAACAGATATAAAGACCATAAGAAATTGGCACAGGAGTAGGCTGTTCGGCCCCTTGAGCCTGCTCCACCATTCAAGAGGATTATGGATTATCTGACACTCCTCACGTCCACTTTCCGGCTCGTCCCCCTTAACTCCTGATTCCTCTTACTGATCAAGAATCTTCTCAGCATTCCTGGAGAGGCAGGGATTAATCAACAACAATAGGCAAGTAGACTATATCAATAGCTGTGCTCAGTCAAGTTGGTCAGTCATTGTTAAGGGGAAGACTTACGAGGATGAGGCCTGGGCTCCAGTATTTTAGTTATAAAGAGAGATTGGACAGACTGGGGTTGCTTTTCTTAGAGCAAAGGAGGTTGAGAGGACATGATGAGATGTATAAAATTATGAGGGGTATAAATTGGGTCGACAGGAAGAAACATTTCCCATTGGTGGAGGGATCAATGACCATAGGGCACAGATTTAAGATAAGGAGCAGAGGGTTTAAGAGGAGATGAGCGCCAAAACCTTTTCACCCAGAACGTGGTGGGAATCTGGAACTCACTGCCTGAAAGGCAGAAATCCTCATAACATATAAAAGGTATTTAGATGTGCACTTGCAATGGAAACAAGGCTATGGGCCAAATGCTGGAGAATGGGATTAGAATAGTTGGCTGGTTATTTTTGATTGGTGCAGACGCAACGGGCTGAAGAGCCTTCATCTGTGTTGTCGGACTTTATATCACCATAAGATATAGGAGCAGAATTGACCATTTGGCCCATCAAGTCTGCTCTGCCATTCAATCATGTCTGACGTGTTTCACAACCCTTTTTCTCCTGCCTTCTCCCATAATCTTGATCCCATTATTCTTCAATAACCTACTCATCTCTATTTTAAATGTAGTCAATGGCTTGACCTCCAATGCTTTCTGTGACAATGAATTCCATAGATTCTCCACCCTCTGGTTGGAGAAATGCTTCCTCATCTCAGTTCTAAAGGGTCGTCCCTTCACTCTAAGGCTCAGATCTTAATCTCTTCTACTAGTGTAAATATCATTTCCATTTCCACTCTATCCAGGCCTCTCAGTATTCTCTAAGTTTCAGTGATATTCCCCCTCACCCTTCTAAACTATGACTAATATTTTTTCTGAGGATTGTGCAACTTCAGAACACTTTGCCTCAGTAAGTAGTGGAGGTGAGGGTCTTTTGACTACTTTTAAGGCAATGGTAGATTCCCTTGCATAATAGGGATCTAACGTTACTGTGGGTCAATGGAACTTGAGATTTGAAACACAGTCAGATCAGCCATGATTTCTTTCAATGGGCCCTGCTTCAATTACTAATGCGAATGTCTGCACATTTGCAAAAGGTTCTTCTTTGGAATTGAGATTTCAGAAATGTGAAAGTTCAGATCTCACAGTTTACCCCATACATACGCAGAAAGTATGAACAACATATGGCTTTCAATCCACATCATATTTTCCCAATTAATATTTTCACATTACAAAGCATGGAATTCGATTATTCTGCATAAAATTGGACAAGGATCTTATAAAAGTGGGAAACTGTCTTGCACCCTCCCATCTATAGGAGATGTAAAAGTATGAAATGTGGAAACCAATAAGTGTCCAGAAAATTACCTCTTCCACATAGTCATGACCAACAGGTTGAACATCACTCTGCAATGCAGCAAGTGTTGTCATTGGTTCCACTACTGCCTCTGATTTGGTTTCTTGAACAGGTGGCGTTACCACTTTAACTTCAGGGGCTTTGACTTCCTCAATTATAGTAGGAGCTGTTCCTGTAGTCTGCAACTTGTTACCACCTGTGGAACAATTCAATATTTGAACTACCAGACAAGTTGAGCAATTCATACATCAACAGTACCTAATGACACATAACATTTAACAGCTATTATGTCAGAGGTGTCAGGTTCCCTCAATGCTTTTCAATTCAGATTTATCCAAATAAATTCACAATAATTACATTCAGTGCAAGAGCAACATTTTAAGCAATATCAGCAAAACTATTTTATATCAATTAGGACTTTATATCTACTCTTTTCTCCTCCATTCCTTTCAATCTCAAATGTATTAACTGCATTTTCAAATACCACACTTGATTTACCATTTCCTAGTGGTATCCAAAATGTTAGCAAATCAGAACTACACCTTCTACAGAGCCAGCTCATTGATTTACGAACAGAAGTAATTTAATTCCAGTACTTACCAACAAAAGTTATCTTGGGAGTTGGTGCCTTTTTTGCAACGAGCAGCTTGTTAGCAACATTGTTGACAGATACAGCAGCAACTGGATTAGGCTTTACAACAGTAGAAATAGTAGCAGTTGCAGGAGCCGTACCACTACTGGATCCTGCGGGTGGGTTTGGAGGAGCTGGCTTGACAGACGTCCCAGCTGTAGTTGTAGTCGTAGTCTGGCTAACCATGCTTGGTTCTGTAGAGGGAATGGGCTTGCCAAGTTTGGTATGTAACTTGACTACCTAGATTAAATCATTAAAAAAAATTTAATTGAAAACCGAAAGAACTGTGGATGCTGTGAATCAGGAACAAAAACCAAGATGCTGGAAAGCTCAGTAGGCCTGGCAGCATCTGTGAAGGAAAAAACAGTTAACATTTCAGCAGGAGCGGTGACGGCAAGGACCAGGGAGCTGCCGGGACGGTAAGTCCTTCTTTTCGGCAGCAGAGCTGAGTGGGAGCGGTCGAATTGCACTCTGGGAAGGTGAGTGAACTGATACATTTGGGCAGTGGCTAAACCCGAGGCACTACACGTGTAGTGTCGCCCACCCACCCTCCTCCTCTAACCAAAAAAAAACTCTGTTGAGAAGATAAGGTTTTTCTTTTTTTTTAAATCGTGTGCTGGTAAGTAGAGTGATTGGTAATAAATTTTTCATTTCATTTATCTATTCTTTGATATTATAGTAGGACTAAGTTAAGCTTAAGAGTAAAAATGGCAGGAGATCCCAGACCCGTGTTATGCTCCTCTTGCTCAATGTGGGAGCTCAGGGACGCGGCTGATGTCCCTGACACCTACACATGCAGGAAGTGTGTCCAGCTGCAGCTCTTGTTAGACCGCATGACGGCTCTGGAGCTGCGGATGGACTCACTTTGGAGCATCCGCAATGCTGAGGAAGTCGTGGATAGCACGTTTAGCAAATTGGTCACACCACAGATTAGGATTGCTGAGGGAGAAAAGGAACGGGTGACCAAAAGGCAGAAAAAAAGCAGGAAGGCAGTGCAGGTGCCCCCTGCGGTCATCTCCCTCCAAAACAGGTATACCATTTTGGATACTGTTGGGGGAGATGGCTCACCAGGGGAAGGCAGCAGTCGCCAGGTTCATGGCATCGTGGCTGGCTCTGCCTTACAGAAGGGCGGGGAAAAAAAGAGTGGAAGGGCTTTAGTCATAGGGGATTCGATTGTAAGGGGAGTAGATAGGTGGTTCTGTGGTCGAAAACTAGACTCCCGAATGATATGTTGCCTCCTAGGTGCATGGGTCAGGGATGTCTCAGATTGACTGCAGGACATTCTGAAGGGGGAGGGTGAACAGCCAGCTGTTGTGGTGCATATAGGCACCAATGATATAGGTAAAAAAACAGGATGAGGTCCTATAAGCAGAATTTAGGGAGTTAGGAGCCAAGTTAAAAAGTAGAACCTAAGAGATAGTAATCTCAGGATTGCTACCAGTGCCACATGCTAGTCAGAGTAGAAATGAAAGAATAGGCAGGATAAATGAGTGGCTTGAAAGATGGTGCAGGAGGGAGGGATTCAGATTTTTGGGACATTGGGACCGGTTCTGGGGGAGGTGGGACGATTACAAATCGGACGGTCGACACCTGGGCAGGACTGGAACCAATGTCCTAGGGGGTGCTTTTGCTAACGCTGTTGGGGAGGGTTTAAACTAATGTGGCAGGGGGATGGGAACCAAATGAGGTGGTTAGTGGACAGTAAGGAGGTAGTAACTAAAGCCTGTAAGGAACGAGATAATGTAGTCAGTGTGACTAAGGGGAAGAGTAGGCAGAGAGCAGATGATGAACGCAAAGGGACAGATGGTCTGAGGTGCATTTGTTTTAATGCAAGAAGTGTAGTAGGTAAGGCAGATGACCTTAGGGCTTGGATTAGTACCTGGGAGTATGATGTTATTGCTATTACTGAGACTTGGTGGAGGGAAGGGCAAGATTGGCAACTAAATGTCCCAGGATATAGATGCTTCAGGCGGGATAGAGAGGGAGGTAAAAGTGGTGAAAGAGTTGCATTACTGGTCAAAGAGGATATCACAGCTGTGCTGAAGGAGGGCACTATGGAGGACTCGAGCAGTGAGGCAATATGGGCAGACTTCAGAAATAGGAAGGGTGCAGTAACAATGTTGAGACTATACTACAGGCCTCCCAACAGCGAGTGTGAGATAGAGGTACAAATATGTCGACAGATTATGAAAAGATATAGGAGCAACAGGGTGGTGGTGATGGGAGATTTTAATTTTCCCAACACTGACTGGGATTCACTTAGTGTTAGGAGTTTAGATGGAGCAGAATTTGTAAGGAGCATCCAGGAGAGTGTTATGGAGCAGTATGTAAACAGTCCAAGTCGGGAAGGGGCCATACTGGACGTGGTGTTGGGGAACGAGCCCGGCCAGGTGGTTGAAGTTTCAGTAGGGGATTACTTTGGGAATAGTGATCACAATTCCGTAAGTTTTAGAATACTGATGGACAAAGACGAGAGTGGTCCTCAAGGAACAGTGCTAAATTGGGGGAAGGCCAACTATAGCAAGATTCGACAGGAGCTGGGGAATGTGGATTGGGAGCAGCTATTTGAGGGTAAATCCACACTTGATATGTGGGAGGCTTTTAAAGAGAGGTTGATTAGCGTGCAGGACAGACATGTCCCTGTGAAAATGAGGGATAGAAAGGGCAAGATTAGGGAACCACGGATGACAGGTGAAATTGTGAGACGAGCAAAGAGGAAAAAGGAAGCATACATAAGGTCTAGGTGACTGAAAACAGACGAAGCTTTGGAAGAATATCAGGAAAGTAGGACCAATCTGAAATGAGGAATTAAGAGGGCTAAAAGGGGTCATGAAATATCTATGGCAAACAGGGTTAAGGAAAATCCCAAAGCCTTTTATTCATACATAGGGAGCAAGAGGGTAACCAGAGAAATGGTTGGCCCACTCAAGGACAAAGGAGGGAAGTTATGCGAGGAGTCAGAGAAAATGAGTGAGATTCTTAATGAGTATTTTGCGTCGGTATTCACCGAGGAGAGGGACA